AATATACACATAATAGGATCTGCCTACTCAATCTTTTCTTAAAGTAGATAATACCTTGGCCCAATATTTTCTCAGTTTAGCTTGATGAAGCTGCTTCTGCACCAAACATTCTATGACTCGAATTGCAACTTCAGAAGGGAAATCATTTTGATTGGATCCTGTTTAAAATTACAATTCCTACAGCAACGAAACAATTCATAGCCACTCACTCCCTTATTCATCAGTATTGAGGCCTGTCTTAGTGTACAGTAGAACACTAGTATGTAATAAACTCTGGTGGTGAGTTTATGCATTAAGAAAATCTCATTGCTGCTAATCTACTGTTGATGTTTATGGAATGAGTATTAGGAAATTCTGCGCACTTTGCCTTCAGGTTCATCCTGTCACTTGACTTTTAGCTCCTTTCACTGAAAGCTCATGTGTTAAGATATGCTGACTCCCTAAGTTCCTATTTTTCGAAACTGCAAAAACAAGTCTTTCAGATTTTCAAAATTCGATTTAGATTTGTTGGAAAACTATTCTATAAAATGTGTTAAGACCTTTGGTTTTAGTTCGGTATGAAGTGGGTGGCGGGAAGCTGGGAGAAGGTGGGTGAGGGGCTGAGATGGGTATTCAGGTGCTTCTGCTCTGTAATTCTGGTTTGGCAACATTTTAAGGCAGAAATTCTGAACACACCCCCACCTCCCCCACTTCCAACACACAAGATGAGGGATGTCCACACTTAAAAAACACATTCACAGGCTGGGCATGGTGGCTCCAGCCTGTAATCCCAGCACATTGGAAGGCAGAGGCAGGCGGATCACCTGAGCTCTGGGGTTTGAGACCAGCCTGGGCAACATGGTGAAACCCCGTCTCTACTAAAAATACAAAAATTTAGCCCAGCATGGTGGCGTGCGCCTGTAGTCCCAGCTACTCGGGAGGCTGAGACAGCGGAATTGCTTGAGCCTGGAAGGCAGAGGTTGCAGTGAGCCGAGATCACGCCATTGCACTCCAGCCTGGTGATAGAGTGAGACCTTGTCTCAGCGTCTGTCTGTCTGTCTGTCTCTCTCTCTCTCTCTCTCTCTCTCTTACCAGCATACCATGGGGTAGCAGCAATTCCCAGCGATCTGCTTACAATCCCCACGTTTCTCCCATACTCAGGAAAGCCTCCTTAAATAGAAATAGCACTGGAAGAATGCTACCCGAGAGCTACAGCAGATTCTAGGCAGAGTCTGCCCTATACCACTCCACCGATGGCTGCAAATGCCACCCGACAACCCTCACAGGCTTTTCTAGCTCCTCAGCCTTCTGCCAAATGAGGGCAGTTTCCTTTCCCACCATTATCACACATGGCCATTTCTATAAACTTGCTATTTTGGGATGTTTAATCAAGAATCAGTCAGCTGAAAAAAAATTAAGGAGATTTATTCTTTATTGTGAGTAATGACCAGACAACTAATCTGAATAAGGCACATTCATCAGAATCTGTAAGAAACAAATGCAAAACCATTCCTCATTACACAGAAAGGGAGTGCAGAGAAGTGGGACATTAATATTGGCAAAGCCCACGTATTTTTTGTTAAGTACAAATAAGCAAAATGCAATTGGGTTTGAAAGTCAACGTGCTGTATCTTTTGTGACAGGAAAGGCAAATAGGTTTAAATTTCCTGTGCTCTGATGAACCAGGAGCAACTGCCTGGAGCTTTGTGTTGATGTGAACTTAGGCTTGGTGGGAGCACAGGGAGTAGGGCTGTGACTGCTGGGGGGGCCTGGTTAACTCTGCCCCATGCAATGTGACCCAGCCTATTGCTTCCCAAGGCCAAAATGTTCTTTTTGGTTCATGTAACTCCTCTTAGCCAAAGGCAGATTTAGTTTATAAGCCTCAAAGAGGAAAAGTGGGAGACTATTTCCCAAAATAAGAACCAATTTATAGGGCCGGGCGCGGTGGCTCACGCCTGTAATTCCCAGCACTTTGGGAGGCCGAGGCGGGTGGATCACGAGGTCAAGAGATCGAGACCATCCTGGTCAACATGGTGAAACCCCGTTTCTACTAAAAATACAAAAAATTAGCTGGGCATGGTGGCGCATGCCTATAATCTCAGCCACTCAGGAGGCTGAGGCAGGAGAATTGCCTGAACCCAGGAGGCGGAGGTTGCAGTGAGCCAAGATTGCGCCATTGCACTCCAGCCTGGGTAACAAGAGCGAAACTCTGTCTTAAAAAAAAAAAGAACCAATTTATGGGCTTTTCAAGACATCAAAGCAAGCGGACACAGATAATGCAGATAATACTGGAAGGAAAGGCACTGAAGACTAAGTTATCTGCCTCTTTGCAGATTCAGTTGTGTTCTCAGGCCATTTGGATTGGTCCATAGAGATACAGAAGTTATAGTGCAGTTTATTAGCTAGAAATGAATTTTAACAGCCCCATCTGGGTCTGAATGGGGCAAATTTAGGCCCATATCATTAGGTATCTCACAAGTTAGCACCCAAAATTTAACATAAATTGACAAAAATAAGGCTTAAGTCATCTGGAGAAACTGTTTACAGATATCTTAACTTTATTTAGCTCTCTCTAGAATTAACATCTTTGCAAATATATTATTCAACCAAGCATTTGCCATAAAGATAAGCATCAACTTTCCCATTGGACAAGTGATAGTGTTCAAGCTACTTGAATTGTGAAAAACAAAAAATTCCCAGGACTTCTCAACAAATAAATTTCAAAATGAAATATACTCAGATGGATAAACAAGATATTAAAATGGAGACTGACACTGAACTACATATTGAACCTGAAACACACATTCAAACAATTCTTCTGTAAAATGATATATTATTGGCTTTACCAAGATGTACTGGTTTATGTTTACAATTATGTTTTATTTTCAAATGATAAAGGAAAGGCTTCATGTTGCTATTTGAAAGTACTTCTCAACTAGCCAGGCAGGGTGGTGTGTGCCTGTGTTTCCTGAAGCAGAGGATCATCCCCTTGAGGTTCCAGGCTGCAGTGAGCCATGATTGTGCCACTGCACTATAGCCTGGGTGACAGAGCAAGACCCTGTCTTTAAAACAAAATGAAAGCACTTCTCTGCAAGTGAAATTTATGAATATAATCTTTATTCCTATTAAATGATGGCCCTAATCAGCTACTACTTATTATTTTCTATTTAACATTCATTTTTGAAGAGCCAGAGACCTGCCTATGTGGCATAAAGTTTGGATGGATATATGTGAATGCTGTGCTGGTGAAGGTCATCTGATTCTTATTACAACTTTCACATGCCCTATTTGTTATATTTTAACATCACTGCTCATTGTGCTTCCTGTCTTTAATAGTTAAAAGTATAAGTGGACCAGTTAAAAGTTGTTTAGGCTGGACACGGTGGCTCATGCCTATAATCCCAACACTTTGGGAGTCTGAGCGGGGGTTGGATCACTTGAGGTCAGGAGTTCAAGACCAGCCCGGTCAACATGGGGAAACCCTGTCTCTGCCAAAAATACAAAAATTAGCTGGGCATAGTGGCGGGCGCCTGTAATCCAGCTACTTGGGAAGCTGAGGCAGGAGAACTGCTTGAACCGAAGGCGGAAGTTGCAGGAATGAGCCCACATCACACCACTGCACTCCAGCCTGGGTGACAAGAGCAAAACTCCATCTCAAAAAAAAAAAAAAAAACTGTTTAAAAACTATCTCAGCGGCTAGCACTATTTAGTCAAGTCAGTAGCTGAGAGAATGGTGGGTCACTAACCACCAGAAACTTGGAGGCTTCCAAATGAAATGTACTGAAATTGCTTTATTGATTGCTTTTAAAAATAGAAATATGAAACAAATTAGCATTACTATTTTAGTGATTAGAACCCCCTGGAACTTTTCGGCCAAACCCTGGAAACTAACCAAAAAACCGAAAATTTACCCTAAGGGAAGAAAAACCTCAAGTCCAAAGACAGTTTCTGATTCCACCATTTGGTTTTACAATTCTGGGATTATTCAAGAAGTAATTTATATTAATATACAGTGTAATGAAAGTTATTCTGGAACAGTAATTAAATGGCAACGTTTAGGTATCATGTACGATATTGTATGCCCACAAATCATTTTTCTTAGTCAAATAAGCAAATTATGACAATAATAAAAGATGAATTACTAGACGCAAATGAAAATCGGAAAACTTAAAAAAAGTAAAAAAATAGAAACAAATAGAAATTAACCTGAGAATACATTAGAGAATAAATTTGAATTATCTGTCCATTTATAAAATATAGTATGCTTTAAAAATAGTCATTTTAGTCATGAGAAGACCCAGCGCTAATATACTGCTTCTTTTAAAAATGATTTTTGAGGCTGGACGCAGTGGCTCATGCCTATAATCCCAGCACTTTGGGAGACCAAGGTGGGTGGATCAGTTGGGGCCAGAAGTTTGAGACAAGACTGGACAACATAGCGAAACCTCATCTCTACTAAAAATACAAATATTAGCTAGGCATGGTGATGCGTGCCTGTAATCTCAGCTACTCAGGAGGCTGAGGCACAAGAATCACTTGAACCCAGTAGGTATGGGCTGCAGTGAGCTGAGATTGCGCCACTGCATTCCAGCCTGGGTGACAGAACAAGACCTTCTCTCACCAAAAAAAAAAAAGGTTTGAGGTTGGGTGCTTTGAGCCACATCTACAATCCAAGCACTTTGGGAGGCCGAGGTGGGAGGATCACTTGAGGCCAGGAGTTCAAGATCAGTCTGGGCAACACAGTGAGACCCTGTCTCTATACAAAATAGAGTGGTGTGGTAGTGTGCACTTGTAGTTCCAGCTACTCAGGAGGCTAAGGTGGAGGACTGCTTGAGCCCAGGAGTTTAAAGCTACAGTGAGCTATGAACTGTTCTGCCCCTGCACTCCAGCCTGGGAGTCAGAAATAGTGGACAGAAAACTGACAACACTCTCAATTGGCTGCACTATACATGGAAGGAAAGTGTTTCTAAAAAGGCTAAATAAGTAAAAAAAAAAAAAAAAAACACACACAACATTTTGACTTAGAAATTTATTTTTCTAAATTTTGAAAGGAAATGATGGAAAACCATATCCAACTGAATGAAGAAACAAGAATATGCATCACACTGGTTCCTTTACAGATCTGAGGTAGCACAGGTCAGCAGGCCAATAGGACAGTTCTACAAGGCAACACTGGTTTTGTGGATGTAATGAAATGCTAGCATCTAAGATCTAGAAAGACAAAAATTTGGTATATAGATTTTCCTTCAATTTCCTCTGCTTTCATATTGGATTGACATTGATTTACATTCCCCATGCTTTCACTTTTTGTTCAGGTCTTTCCCAAATCTCTTGGAAGATCCCTTCAAAGTCCCAAATGCAAATTCTTCCTTCAGGTATGCCCCTACACTCAATTGAGTAATTACTCAAGTATAATTTTTTTTAGATATCAGTAAAGATCCCTCTATCTTCTTAGTGTTTCCTAAAATCTTCCCATACTTTAATCATGACTTCTTAGATATATACATATGATCTCATACAACAAAGAGGCCAAAACCCAGTTTAAACATTCCAGGATTATAATAGTCCATATAATAGAACAGACCCTTTGTTAGGTCAAGATCATTTTACTAGAGTTCTGCTTTCAGAGCTTAAATGCTAATCAACAACTACTGTCTCCATACACACTGTTTTCAGTCTTTCTTACAATCACAGAACATGGTCTAGCAATCAGTATTGACTATCAAAACCTCTGAGAATTACCTACCATTTCTGCTTCCTCTCATTAAGTATACCATCTCTTGCATTTCTCTAATTTTTAACCTAATGGTACTTCTATAACTAGTTGGTCAAGAAAGAGCTGCATTATATAATGTTCCATCACTGCATAGAAATAAGCTGTTTGGTAAAGTTATGCCAAGTGTTCATATAAAATTTACTATTAAATTGGTTCAAAAATAAATTTTAAAAATAAAAATGGTTATTAAAAATCTGTTCTGCTGAAAGAGCCTACAAACTCTCACCCCAGAGAAGTATAAAATTCCATGCAGAGGAGACAGAGATGACAATTAACAGAAATGAACAAAAGCATCAGAAACATGCTAGTAAATGCTAGCTTATACATTCTGCTGTTCATATTAGATCTTTATCATTCATAAATAATGTATCTATACAATAAACCTGTATTTCAGCTTCCTACCCATAAGATTTAATACATTCTTTTTTTTACATATTTCCTATCTTCTAAGATGTTTTCTCACTTAATCAATGGTTTTCGAACTTCATTATCAGTGAAGCTCTTTGTTGCAATGAAATCTCACAGCGAACCCCAACATATAAAACAGTTAAAAGCAGAACTGCCCTGATAAAAGGGGGAAGGGTGCCAGTAGACACAGTTTGAAAATCACTGCTGTAAATCGTTCAAGAAAAGCTGAAGTAAAGATACAGCCAATTGGAATTTCTTCATTTCCAATGATTATAAACCCCAATTTCCCCAATGGTTCTCATTTTTAAGAAAGTTTTTTGAGTACAGGTGCTTATACCTCAGCTCAATGGAATAAAAGCACAGTGTCTTACATGTAGTATTTAGGTACGTACTTAATGGTTTGAATCCTTATTTCCTTGTTTTATACTCAAAACTGTACAATTAATATAAGATGTAGTCCCTTAACTTTAGATTATTAAAGTGACGTTTGAAAATATTCAACATGTGATAGAAAAATTTTCTAAAAATTATCATTGCTTCATAATTGTAATTGCTTTAGTCAAGTCTAAACACTATCCAAAAGGCTCTTCAGAGTCTCACTCAAAAAAACAATCAAAAAAATCACTCTGTAGTTACTCTAAGAAGTATCTCCTGTGCAATGGTGCTATATTTTAGAATTTTTTAAAAAATTCTCATATATATCATCCTATATTTCAAACCTGATTTGGTCCAAAAGGCAAAGAAAAGAAGTTAGGTTAATTTTTACCTTTGTCAAGGCTTACATTAGAAAGATTTTATAAGGAGTAAAAAATAAAAACTTGTTTCTAAAATAAGCTCATTTGTGTTTTTCAGGCTATTTCCTCAATCTATTTTATCAACCCCCTTCTATATAAATGGAAGGCCTTTAAACAGACTTTTTCATAAACGTATATACCTTCTGTAACCAACTCTGTGCTTAGCTTTAGAAAAGGCACCCCTGTTCTTCTATGCTCCTCACTGGCTGGACCGGTAGTACTAAGTGTGAAATTCGGCTCCACAGCCCACTCAATTTGTCTGAGTCCATGTGGTTGAAGGAGCTGGGAGTGTCAGAGTTGGTAAACTTGGACCAGAGTAAATCTCTCACTTTTTCTTCAGTTTCCCTTGGGCCTACACTTGCTTCTAATGTTTCCTCCTCTAGCAGAACAGTGAGGACCAGGGCCACATCTTTAAAGGCAGCATTCTCATGATCACAATACTTGTAGAAGATCAAAGTGGAGCCGGCAGGAAAGGATTCGAAGTTGTGGACCACAGCAGCCTTCTGGCCATTCTCAAAGCCAGAGCTTAGCTCCAGGTCAACCAACAGCTTGACTGTATCACTGTCCTGCCAGGTTCTTCCAGCCCCGTGAATCTGAATGGGAGAGGCTTTCTGGGAAGAGGTGTAAGCATCAGCAACATGGTGGCTCAGGCACTTCAGGGTCTCCCTTCCCTCCCGAGCTGCTGTAAGTATGATGGTGGCTGGCTCCGTAGGGTTGGAAGCATTGAGGTGCTTCTGGAGAAACTTCCGTCCTCTCTGCCACAGAAAGGAACTCTGGCCTGGAAATTTATCTTTCAATTGGCTAAACTGGGCCAAAAAGGCCTCCAAAGCTGGATTTTTGGGCACTTGCTGGGCTGGAGAGAAATAGTAGCTATACACAGAAGGTAGCACAACAGCCCCAACCAGGAGGCAAAGAAAGACAGGGCCTGTCAAAAGAATGAGAAAAGAACAGGAAATTATAGAGAACACAAGTCAGAAACAAAGCCTGTGGTCAACTGAAGTGAGGCGGAGATACCGTCAGGTTTCACTAGGAGCAGTAAGTTTCTTTTGCATAAATTGTTTAAACTTTCACTCTACCAGAAGTACCTTTTCCCTAATATCTTCTCAGATTTAATTATTTGAAGATATATCTTTGTTAAAAGATAAAAGCTTCATGTAAGAGTTAAGTATCAGTAAAAAAATTTTAAAAATAAATAAAAGGTAAAAGCTGAGTCTATGCATTTGTTGTTATAACTAATGATGTAATTTAGACATGAGTGATCGAGATTTTCTTCCATCTTCTCAAGGAACCTACACCGATAGCCGACCACTTTTTTAGGAGTCATAACTCTAAAATGACTAGTTAGAAAGGCAGTTTTTGTTTCTTGTTTAGGAAAAGCTTTTCCTACTGTGGGAATTTCCATTTTGTAAGCACACCAAAATATCAGCCAGCATCCTTAAGGGAAAAACCCCTAAAACACTATTGTTCTATTTTACTATGACTTACTACCAATCATTAAATAAGTATAATAAACACAATGTTAAAACTGTTTAAATCTGCTAGTTTTCTAAGCATTTTCTGAATGTGAATCAACACTGCAGTAAAACCAGGTTTGTTCTTACCATAGTTCCAAATACTCTTTTTATTAGTCTTTCTCATGGTGTCCTGTGCATTCTCTTTAATTTCTTCCAATTTTTGTGTTTGTTGTGGATGACTTCCAGCCTCTGAGGAGGAGGAGCAATCAATATTATTTGTAGGCAGTAAACTAATAACAGTATGTATACCTTTATAACTCTCACCAAACCAAAGAACAATTTGACTAAAAAGATTTATATACCTTGGCCAGGCACGGTGGCTCACACCTGTAATCCCAGCAATTTGGGAGTCCGAGGTTGGTGGATCACTTGGGGTCAGGAGTTCGAGACCAGCCTGGCCAACAAGGTGAAACCCTGTCTCTACTAAAAATACAAAAATTATCAGGGAATGGTGGCAGGCACCTGTAATCCCAGCTACTCAGGTGGCTGAGGCAGGAGAATTGCTTGAACCCAGGAGACGGAAGTTGCAGTGACCAGAGATCACACCATTATACTCCGGCCTGGGGGACAGAGCAAGACTCCATCTCAAAAAAGAAAAACCAAAAAAACAAAAACCCAAAGTTAACACTTTTCCTGTCTTTTCTTTAAGACTATTACTTTTATTCTACTTAGAAGAATAAAATGAAATGCTGTGAAATTCATTCAAGGATAATATTGCTATATTCACAATTCCTCACTGCCTCTTACATCAAAGACAAAGAAAAAGAAACTTAAATACTGTGGCCAAAGTTATCTAAAATGTGATTCAACAAAATATATAAAATTAAGAAGGGATTTAAGAAACACTGGCTGTACACAAGTTTCAACATCACAGGGTAATTGTGCTCGAATTCCAGTGTTCGAGTTTTACATGGTTCCTCAAGACCCCGAATATAAAAATAACAGAGGCACTAAATTCTGAGATAGGAGATATTACTGTACAGTGGCAAAACAGCTTACAAAAGCAAATTTGAAACTCTTAGTCAAGGAGATATACAAAGCAAGGAATATAAGGTGAAGAAAATTCATGAACTATGTAAAAACCCAGGTGGAGGGTGGGCACACCAAGCTTAAAATATGTGGGTGAAAAGAAGGGCAACGCTTTACAGCACTCTAAGCTAAATCACACTAGAATCGAAATTTGTGCTTAATCCTGGCCAGTTACTTCTATTAGCACAGACGAGTAGGATCCTCTTCAATTATAAAGAGTTGTTCATATCACCCCAAAAAGTAGGTTCTTAAAATATCATATCATGGAATTTAAGAACTGAAAGGATTTATAACGGACACCTATTCCAGCCCCACTACTTAACCTACCATGAAAAGAGGTCCAGGAATATTAAAGGTCTTGCCCAAGGTCACATAAAGAGATATAGTTGAGATATTGAGATTAAAACACGGTTTCTCATCTCCTAGAGTATATACATACATACATATATATATATATATATATACACATACATATATATATATATATATATATATAAAACCTCATTCAACTATATTAAGTTGCTTTCCATCCATAAACTGCATTTCTTTTTTTAAAGACAGGGTCTCACTCTGTCAACAAGGCTGGAGTGCAGTGGCAAAATTTTGGCTCACCACAGCTTTGACCTCCCGGGGTCAAGCAATCCTCCCACCTCAGCCTCCTGAGAACTACAAGTGTACACAGCTGCTTTTGTATTTTTTTGTAAAGATAGGTTTTGCCATGTTGCCCAGGCTGGTCTTGAACTCCTGGCCTCAAGTGATCCACCCATCTTGGCCTCCCAAAGTGCTGGGATCACAGAAGTGAGCCACTCTGTTTGGCCTAAACTGGATTTTTTTTTATTTTTTTTATTTTTGAGATGGAGTCTTGCTCTGTTGCCAGTCTAGAGTGAAGTGGCACGATCTTGGCTCACCACAGCCTCCACCCGCCAGGTTCAAGCGATTCTCCTGTCTTGGCCTTGCGAGTAGCTGGGACTATAGGCATGTGCCACCATGCCCGGCTAATTTTCGTATTTTTAGTAGAGATGGGGTTTCACCATGTTGGCCAGGATGGTCTCTATCTCTTGATCTCGTGATCCACCTGCCTTGGCCTCCCAAAGTGCTGGGATTGCAGGTGTGAGCCACCACACCCGGCCTAAACTGGATTTTTTTAAACAATATTTTTTCACCAGGTATTTTTTCACCTGTAATCCCAACACTTTGGGAGGCTGAGGCTGGCAGATCACAAGGTCAGAAGTTCAAGGCCAGCCTGACCAACATGATGAAACCCCCGCCTCTACTAAAAAATACAAAAATATTAGCTGGGCGTGGTGGCACACGCCTTATATAATCCCAGCTACTCAGGAGGCTCAGGCAGGAGAATCGCTTGAACTTAGGAGGCAGAGGTTGCAGTGAGCAGAGATCATGCCACTGTACTCCAGCCTACACGACAGAGTGAGACTCCAGCTAAAAAAAACAAAAAACAAAACAAAACATTATTTTTTCTACTTACAGCGAACCTGCCTAACAGTGAATTCTTTTTTAAAGAGATGAGGTCTCACTACATGGCCCAGGCGCTTTAGCTAGAACGTAGAGGTTACTCACAAGCGTGGTCATTGCACACTGCAGGCTCGGGCTCCTGGGCTCAAGCAGTCCTCCCACCTCAGCAACCCAAGTAACTGGGAGGCTTATGCAATCGCACCTGGTGCATATGCAACTGCATTGGTAAATGGGCATTTCAGACTGAGCTCTTCCAAGTGCTTATAAAATATAAATCCACGTAGACAATCACAGAAAGTGAGAGCTAGAAGAATCCTTGGATGTCATCTTGTCTAACTTCTTTGTTTTACAAATGGGAAATTGAAGCACCAGGAAGTGAAGAGACTTTCCCAAGGTCACCCAAGTTAACAAGTGGTAGGGCCACAACTAGAATTCACACCTCTCGAGTTCCATTTAAGGATTTCGCACACTGCAATACTTTCCTCCATAAGGGAAGACATGGTTGTTCCTCTTAGCATATAGGCAGACAAAATCAGGTATAGAGAAACCGACTTAAAGTCCTATAAAACTGAAACGTGACTGAGTTAAGGATACTGTCCCATTAATGCTCATTTTCAAATATACCCATCTCTTGATTGATGTAACATTTAGTTTCCCAAAAAGTAAAAGATTTCAAAAATTGTACGTCAAAATACTCTCATAAGAAATAAAAAGCCAAAAGCGAATTTTTTAAAAGTCATGCCCCTTTTTGTCATATCACATTAACAGTTAAAAAAACCTTGCTTAGAAATGCAGTTTATGTGTAGGAAGCAACTTAATATAGTGGAATAAGCTAAACCTCATTCTAAAATCAACTCAGTCGTATGGCTTTGTGCAAGCGTGGGCAGGGCCCCAAGGCCTTAATCCTATGAAAGATACACAAAAGTTCTCTGGAAAGAAGGCCTCTGACTTCTGCTGTGTTCTCAGTCAACAGAGCCATAAAAAATAGGAGAGAAGTTCAGAGGTTCTCTTACCGGGGGCCAGCAGTCGCCTCCTCAGGGTATCCTTGCCCTCTTGCCCTGCACTGGAATGACCGGGACTCTGGGCTTCCTGGGGGTCTCCAGCAGGTGGTTCCTGAGATGCTCCCATTCCGTCAGTCACTTCCGTAGGGAGGGCTGCAGAGCTGCTCCCTAAGTGTGCATCTGCTCGTCCTAACTTGTCACTTGGAGAATGGCTGGGATCTGGATCCAAGGGTTCTTCACTCAGACTTTCTGAAGGGAGGTGATGCCCTTTTTCACCATCCAGAAAACTCTGGCTGTTCTCATGTTCTGTTTGATCCTTTGGATGTTTCCGCACATTTGCTTCATCTGGACTTTCTGATTTATCACCTGTATCTACACTTTCCGGACCTATTGTCTCTATGTCTTGGTGGCCTTTGCTAAGACCAGCGGCAGGGTGTAGGGTCTGAGCTTCTTCAGCAGTACTTGGTGTGATTGTGGTCTCTTGTGCCTGAGGATTTATTGATGGATCATTTTCCAAATCCTTTTGAGAGTCTATTGAGATAAAAATTTATAATTCTTATTGGAAAAAATTCCCCATAAATTCATATTTTAACAATGTCTCTGTTTAATAATAATACTTATATAGATTTTCATGGTTTACAAGACACTCTTCCTAAACGTTATTTCTGTTGGCTCCCACTAAAGGTGATTTAAACAACAACAAAAACTTGTCAATAAATCTAAAGTAACACTAATATAAAACAATTTGTATGACCAACAGATTGTTAGAACCAACTTTTGGTTATATTAAATATATCTTCTTCCCTAATGAAAGGCAGTGCCCATCAATGGTAGCTAAAACTTTATGCAAAAGGCTGATAGGAACTTTTACAGTGTATGAGCCAGACTGACAACTGCTGAACCCAGTGACCAATCTTCACATCACGAAAACGGGGAAACCCAAACAGATCATTCACCTCCTAATACGACGCAGTAGGAAGTACTCTAGACCACCTAGGAAGTATTCTTGCCAAATAACTGAACTGAAATCTGATCGAGCTTCTAGAGCTACCAGCTTCTAAGAAATATAGGGATAGAGGAATATATTAAATTATGCCTCAAGAATATAATCAGCAAAATGCAGGATGGGCGAAATTCCAAAAGACATTTCTTTAATAACAGTAAGAAATTAAATGGCAAAAAAAGGGGAAAAAAGGAGTCTCTTAACTTACTAAGAGACTTAAGAGACCATCAACCAAATACAATATGTGAACCACAATGTCTAGATCCAGTTTCGAATAAGCCAATCATTAAAGAAATATTTATCACACAATCAGCAATATCTGAATGCCAGATATTTGATGACACTAGGAATTATAATTCATCTTTTTAGGTGTGATAAAGGTATTGTAATTACATTTTTTACAAAGAATCATTATTGGCCGGGTGTAGTGGCTCACACCTGTAATCCCAGCACTTTACGAGGCTGAGGGGGGCAGATCACGAGGTCAGTAGTTCGAGACCAGCCTGGCCAACGTGGTGAAGCCCTGTCTCTACTAATACAAAAATTAGCCAGGAGTGGTGGCGCATGCCTGTAGTCCCAGCTACTCAGGAGGCTGAGGCAGAAGAATCGCTTAAACCCGGGAGGCAGAAGTTGCAGTGAGTTGAGATTGCACCATTGCACTCCAGCCTGGGTGACAGAAAGAAAAAAAAAAGAAGAAAATCCCTTCTAAATATAGCACATCATGGGATATATATATAACTCTAAAGATTTATTTACCATCATTTTTTAAAGAGGCATTGTATTTTTCCATTACTATAAGTCCCTACAGTTGGAGTCTCTAAAACATTTATCTTCCTTATAATTAGGGTCTCACATTATGGTAAAGTTCAGTAAATCTGAAAGAATAACTATAATCAAAGCAAATGAATCCACTGAATTAGCTTTTTTACTTTAAAACTTCAGGTTTCAGTCATCAGAGGTTTTCTCTCTGCATACCCTAGTTTCCTACAGCAGCACCCTCAGTGCCGGACAGATCAGTCTTACCCTCTTGAGGCTCCCTAAGTCCACTGTCAGCCATGTTTGTGTTCTCTCTCTCCAGAGTTGGGGGGATACTTTTTTTAGTGCTTGGTTTTCCTTGTGAAGATGTCTTGTTTTCTTCTTGTCCCAAGTCCCAACAGACTCATGCTTCCCATGGACCCAGGAAATAAGGCATATATACAGTGACTAAAACAAAATGAAAAAAATTAAATGACTTTTTATCCATACGAAGGAGAAATGCAAATATCAGCTTTATTTATTAAATATGTTTAGTTTGAGTAACATGTCCTCTCTGAAACTTTTTTTGTGACGAAAAGTTCCTTTCATGAGAATCACACTCCAAATCCTAGACTATTAAAGCTCCAGATTATTAATCTTTCATCAGTATCATAATCTCCTAATACATTCCAGCACAGTTGAAAGAGTATAAAAAGTAAGACCAAGTGACCAGAATCTTCAAGAGAATAGCTTGAACTAAAATAAAAAATAAATCTAAGAGTAGAAATTTAAGTCACTGCTGAAACAATCACTGCAGATTTCCTGGAGGCCTTCAATTTCTGTCCCAGATACTTTTCTCATAGTCTGCCTATCAGAAGGTTTCACTTATATTAAAAAGTAACAACACAAGAGGTTCCCACAAACTGAGATGGCTGCTTTGAGGTACCGCTACACATTTGCACTGACTTTGGTTTTCTTGAAGTATTGTTTTGTAAAACATGGAGAGAGATACCCCTTCATTCAGTGCCTTTTTATGCAATGCTCAAAGACAGATAAAATTATTTTTATACAAAAGGAATCAAAATCATTTTATAAGCAATAAAACTTATATTTTATAGTTAATTCTTATTTTTTGTCAAAAACAAATTGATCAGTAAAGTTACTTCACATTCATTGCCTATAAAAATGAGAGTAATGATATCTATGAGGCTTAAATACAAAAATATTTATGAAAAAACTTTGTGAAGTGTTAAGAGTTTTTTGACAGCCTAGTTGGAAGGCTAGCCAACTGGCTGTCTTTCTGTTTTATGCAGCACTTTTTTGTAAAATTTAATTTTACAGATTAAAAACTTCAATCCCCAATGCCTACAAGATGCCTAATATATAATAAGAACTCCATATTTTAACTTAAAATCATGTGAAAAAAAATAAATGAATGTATAAATAAAGAATGATGCCACAGATAAACTGGAAGGAAAGAGAAGAGTAGGGACAGACCCTTCTTTCTGCTGGTGTAAACACTTAGCAAAGTGTCTCAGATTCGGAGGGTTCCTTGTCACCTCTTTTACGTTCTTCAGGCTCTTGGGATTGGGCTTTCAAGCCATCATATGTTGCAGTGAAGGTTTCTCTCCTATCCTAGCTCATGATAGAAAAGAAAAAGTCCCCAGTACTTTTCAAGTTTTGTTAAAAAATTTTTCCCTGCCAGCCAAAACCAAGAAAATAGGTTAAAATTTCCTATGTACAAGTAACAAAAATTTTCAAAAGCAAAGACGCTACTCACAATAACCATAAGGAATCTGAAATAAAAACTAAAAGATATCTGGTAATAAATCTAACAAGAGATATACAAGATCTTTAGACAGTGGTGAATTTTATGGTTTGTAAATTATACCTCAATAAAGCTGTTTCTTTAAAACACAACTTTAAAGAGAAAAATATAAAACTTAATTCAAGTATATAAAAAAGAGATAACAGAAAAATATATCACACATAGACAATAAGACTCAAAACCATTGATGCCAATTTTCTCCAAATTAATCTACAAAAGTATGCAATTTGAAACAAAATCTCAAGTTTTTTTCTATTATTACTGTTAGTTTCTAGTAAAATGTTAAAGCTGATCCTAAAATTCACAAAGAGCAGCAAAAGATCAAGAAGAGTCAGCATAATTCTGAAGAAGTGGGGCAATCTTTACCAGCTATCAAAACTTCTTTAAACCTAAAGTAGGCTGGGCACAGTGGCTCACACCTGTATTCCCTGCACTTTGGGAGGCCAAGGTGAGCAGATCACCTGAGGATCAGGAGTTCGAGACCAGCCTGACCAACATGGTGAAACTCCGTCTCTACTAAAAATACAAAAATTAGCTGGGCATGGTGGCACATGCCTGTAATCCCAACTACTCAGGAGGCTGAGGCAGAAGAATCATCTGATCCCAGGAAATGGAGGTTGCAGTGAGCCAAGATCATACCACTGCACTCCAGCCTGGGTGACAGAGCAAGATTCTGTATTAAAAAAAAAAAATTGTTTGGGAACAACTGACTATTCAAATGGAGGGAAAATTTCTGTCTCCTACCTCATACAAAAATCAAGTCCAGATTAAAGACCTAAATGTAAAAAGCAAAACTTTTAAACTTTGAGAAGAAAATATAAAATATCTTTATAACTGCAAGGTTTCTTAAATAAGATATACAATACACAAACCAGAAAGGGAAATTTCACAAATTTCAATACATTACAAAATTTTTAATTTCTACACAAGATATCGAAATGAAAAATCTCTGACTAGAAAAATATCTGCAACACATACAACCAGTAAGGAATTAAAATCGAGAACACATAAAGAATTCCACAAATCAGTAAAAGACAAATAATGCTACGAAAAAGTGAGTGAAAGGGTTGAAGAAGCAGTTCAACAAACAGGAAATATAAAAACCTAATGAATATGTAAAAAGAGTAGTCAAGGAAATATAAAAAATAAATTAATGGTGAGATAACATTTCACACCAGCAGACTGGTAAAAAGCTAAGTCAGACAATATCATATGTTGATGAGGATTTAGAGATACAGAGAGCTCTTAAACCCTAATGGCAATGAAGTAAACTGCTACTACAACTTTAGAGAGAAATATGGCAAGGAAAATTAAGGCACACATATTCTACAAATCGGCAACTCCATTTTTAGATGTATAATAGAGAAACTCATTCACATGCCCCAAAACATCCATTGCTGTATTGTTTAAAATGAGGAAAAGTGAGAAAATCTAAATGTTCATTAATAAGAAACTGGGTTTAAAAAATTGTGTCATATTCTTACAATGTAATATTATACACAGCAATTAAAATGAATTAGATTATCTTTAAAAGTTGTAAAATTACAGCACTGAAGCACTTATGACAAGGCACAGTGGCTCACACCTGTAATACCAGCATTTTGACAGGCCAAGGCAGACAGATGGGTGGAGCTTAGGAGTTCAAGACAAGCCTTGGCCAGGCATGGTGGCTCACGCCTGTAATGCCAACACTTTGGGAGGCCGAGGTGGGTGGATCACCAGGGCAGGAGATCGAGACCATCTTGACCAACATGGTGAAACCCCCATCTCTTCTAAAAATATTAAAAAATTAGCCAGTCAGGGTGGCGTGAGCTTGTAGTCCCAGCTACTCAAGAGGGTGAGGCAGAATAAGTGCTTGAACCTGGGAGGCAGAGGTTGCAGTGAGCCGAGATCGTCCCAGCCTGGGCGACAGAGTGAGACTCCATCTCAGAAAACAAAACAAAACAAACAAACAAAAAAACCCAGCCTGGACAACATGGTGACAACGTCTCTACAAAACAATATACAAAAACTAGCCAGGTGTGGTGGTGCATACCTGTAGTCCCAGCTGCTGAGGTAGGAGGATCACTTGAGCCCTGGAGGCAGAGGTTGCAGTGAGCCAAGATTGCACCATTGCAAGCCAGCCTGGGCTAAGAGCAAAACTCTGTCTCAAAAAAAAAAAAAAAAAAGTGTTTCACATCTTTACTGAGGTGGTGGTTCCCTTTGTTATCAAACTTAAAATTGTATGTGACATAAATTATCCTCAATAAACTTTATTGCAAACAGAGCTGAAGGCTTTCAAAAATATATTACTTGGTAACTAGGTTGCAGTCCAAAAGAATCTGCAAAGGCACCACAGGTATTTCTATAATCTTATAAATGCTTGACATACACCATTCCTGTCACAAAGCACACATAGACCCTAAGCCCATTTTATTCAGACCTTTTGTAACGTATCATCACTGTTCAGTGTTGAAATAGCATTCCCTCACAGTGCAAGTGGGACAAACAAGAAGTTCTTGACAAAGCCTCAGAAAAGGTCACATGGCAGGGTATCTGAGAGATCTGGAGGCACTGTTCCAGTGGCAGGTCAATCTTTTTTTTTTTTTTTTTTTTTTCCCAAGACAATGCCTCAGCCTTCGTAACGGGGACTGCAGGTGTGCACACCATGCTTAGCTAATTTCTGTTATTTTTCGCATAGACAGGGTCTCACCATGTGGCCAGGCTGGTTTCCAACTCCTGGCCTCAAATGATCGCCCACCTTAGCCTCATAAAATGCTGGGATTACAGGCATGAGCCACTGCGCCCAGCCAGGCAGGTCAATCTTTTGAACAGTATCTGATCCCTATCAGGGTATGTGTTCATTATGAACCTCTGGACTGCATAATGGAAGTGAGGCAGAGCCTCATCCTGATGGAAAATGGGGTAGTTGGAGACTTGCTATAGCTGTAGGGAAAACCCCTCCATAAGCATGCTGAAAAATAGATACTTTTGATAGTATCTTCTACAACAAGGAACTGATAAGACCTGTGTGCTTCATACAGCAATGAAAGACATTTACTCTGAGTGAATCCCTTGCAAGTTCAATTGTGACATGTTGGTGTTCAGTGCTCTATACATGGAAGTGATAATTTTCATATTTCTACTTAAATAAAATGTAGCCTCATCACTGACAGACATTTCCACTTCCCTGTGACCCTGAAATCTGCAGCAAAACTTGCATTATTTTGCTTTGTCTCCATCAGGGCTTGTAACAGGTTAAGGCTGTAAGGTTTTGTTCTCCATTTTTGAAGAACCTATTAGATGGTCGGCTGAGGGATGCCTTGCTTAATTTCTATCTCCTGGGACTTCTCTAGGAGGGACACAGATTTGCCTCACTGCTTCTTCTGTAAAGTGGCTACCCTGTGCTCTGTCTTTTAAGATGCAACCTTTTCTGCTTCATCTCACTGTAAAATGGTAAATGCTTTGACTACCCGGTAGGTGCCATTGTGTGGTATACCAAATGACTTCTGCACTGAAGTTGCATAACCAGGCCTAGAAGACTCCAACATACAAAATTAAGTGCTATAAGGCTAACTACAATTCAATACTTATTACATGTTTATAAATAAATTTGGGTCAGGCATGGTGGCTCATGCATGTAAGCTAGGATGTTACAATT